CTAGCAGAGCACCTCAACCTCCCTGATTGAACTAACCTCGTTATCTCCATACTGATTTATACCTGGCTCTGGAAATTTCCATTACTTGCATCTGAAGAAGTGAGGTTCTTACCCACAAAAGCTTATGCTCCCAATACTTCTGTTAGTCTCAAAGGTGCCACAGGACCCTCTGTTACTATAAGGAGAGTGATCAGTTAAGGTGAGCTTTTATCAGCAGGAGAGAAAAAGAACTGTTTGTAGTGGTAATGAAAACGGCCCATTTCCAGCAATTGACAAGAAGATATGAGGAACAGGAGTGGGGGGGGGGGAGAGGGAATAAGCATGGGAAAATAGTTTACTTTGTGTAATGGCCCATCCACTCCCAGTCTTTGTTCAAGCCTAATTTAATGGTGTCCAATTTGCAAATTAATTCCAATTCAGCAGTCTCTCGTTGGAGTCTGTTTTTTGAAGTTTTGTTGTTGTAATATTGCGACTTTTAGGGCTGTAATCGAGTGACCAGGGAGGCTGAAGTGTTCTCCAACTGTTTTTTGAATGTTATAATTCTTGATGTCTGATTTGTGTTCATTTATTCTTTTAAGTAGAGACTGTCTGATTTGGCCAATGTACATGGCAGAGGGGCATTGCTGGCACATGATGGCATATATCACATTGGTAGATGTGCAGGTGAATGAGCCTCTGATAGTGTGGCTGATGTGATTAGGTCCTATGATGGTATCCTGTAATTTCCTGTAATTTCTGAAGCTCTTTTTCAAGTATTCACTTTTTTTTAGTTTGCAACCCCTTGAAGTCTTGATTCTGTTTTATCATAGGGTCTGCTAGCTTCTTCACTTTGGCTTCTAGTTTCCTCTTCAGAGTATCATCTTTTCTGCATTGTTATCTCACTTCTGATTTTGAGGGACTGAGGTTCTAGTAGGCTATGCTTCAAGCATGCTCATCTTAATGTGAGCCTCTATCATCTTCTTCCATGGCCACTGCTTGGCAAATCTTGTATCTTGACTACATCTGTTTTCACCATAGCAGGTAGTTTTTCCCTTTCCTAGCTTGAATTTGGATTCTGTCAGCTGAGATAGACAATTTGCCACAAAGTGTTTTTTTCTTGGCACATCTACATTCCTTTCCAACTGCTCAAAAAGTTGATATCTTTCTGAGTGAGGGTATGAGCCATTTCAGCTTCTGCAAGGGTACTGAAACCCAATCTTACTTCTTGAGATATGCCCTGCTGGGATTACGGGTTTGCTTGGTGCATTGTTTTCCATGATGAAGGCCTATGACTCTGTCACTTTAGTAACTCATTCCACATCTAAAAGTCTTTCCAAATTAAGAGCTAAGAGCTGATGGCCCATGCTTGCTTACTGAACAATGTTGCATCATTTGCATCCAAGTCAGCAAATTTACATCGGAATGCTAGGTGGGGAATCTGGTATAAGATTGGTCAGTGTCTCTCATTATTATTACTACTTTTACTATAGTAGCACTTAAAGCCCTAAGCACGATCAGAGCGCCGTTGTGCTGGATGCTGACAAGAAACATAGCACATAAGAACAGCCACACTGTGTCAGACCAATGCTTCTGCTACTATTCTGTCTTCTGACAGCGGCCAGTGCCAGATGCTTTAGAAGGAATGAACAGAATAGGACAATTTTGAATGATCCATCTTCTGTCATCCAGTCCCAGCTTCTGGCAATTGGAGATTTAGAGACAGCCAGAGCACAGGGTTACGTCCCTGCCCATATTGACTAATAGCCTGATGAACCTATCCTTCATGAACTAATCGAATTCTTTTTTGAACCCAGTTATACTTTTGGCCTTCACACCATCCACTGGCAACAAGTTCCACAGGATGACTGTGCACTGTGTGAAGACGTTATTTCTTTTGTTTGTTTAAAACCTGCTGCCTATTAATTTTATCAGATGACCCCTAGTTCTTACATTATGTGAAGGGGTAGATAATACTTCCCTAATCATTTTCTGCACGCCATTCATGATTTTAGAGACCATTATCATATTTCCCCCCTCCACCGTTACACATCTCTTTTCTAATCTGAATAGTCCCAGTCTTTTTAATCTCTCCTCATATGGAAGAAGTTGTTCCATGCCCCTTGTCATTTTTGTTGCTCTTCTCTGCACCTTTTCCAATTCTAATATCTCTTTTTTGAGATGGGGTGAACAGAACTACACATAGTATTCATGGTGTGGTTATATCATGGATTTATATAGTGGCATTTTGACATTTTCTTTTATTATCTATTTCCTAATGGTTTCTAACTTTCTGCTTTTTTGACTGTCACTTCACATTGAGCAGATGTTTTCAGAGAACTATCTGCAATGACTCCAAGATCTCTTTCTTGAGCGGTAACAGCTAATTTAGACCCCTTCATTTTGTAGGTATAGTTGGGATTATTTTCTCCAGTGGTCACTACTTTGCACTCATCAGTGCTAAATTTCATCAGCCATTTTGCCGCCCAGTCACCTAGTTTAGTGAGATTCCTTTGTAACTCTTCACAGTCAACTTTCAACGTAACTATCTCAAATAAAAGACAGCCCTGGTGCTGAAGACCTTGCAATCCGAATAGACAAGACATACAAAGGGTCAAAGAGGAAACAGAGACACAGAGAGGTAAAGTAACTTGTCTGAAGTTACTTACACACTGCAGGTCAGTGGTAGAGTTGGGAACACAGGGTTTTCTGATTCCCAGTCTATCCACTGGATCACACTACTTCTCACACAATCTTATTGGTTCTTGTCTCACTTGCCTGAAAACTAGTGTTTCATATCCCATATTCTATTTCACAGAAGTAGTCAGTCAGTCAGAACACTATGGTCTTTTTCAAACAGGATCTTCATCTCTGCCAGGTGTTTAATTAAGTCAGTGAGTCATAAACATCTTTTAGCTCCTTACCCAGACAGTGCAATAAAAGTGTAATTTGTCATTTTTTAATTCCAATTTCAAGTGCACCCAACAGATTTCTGAATTTGTGTGTCCACTTCTGAGCAACTGCCCTATCCTCAGAGATATTCAATGTTGGGAATTTAAGGAATGCAAATGCCAGACTGCTTTTGTTTGTTTTTTTGGTTTTTTTCCCTAGATGTGTCTTTAGTGTTCTTTCTGAATTTTATCTCACATTGCTATTTTCCCTTTTTCAATCATATATATATTAGTTCCTTCAGATTTTATGGGCTGTTTCCTTTTAAGAGCTTCTAAAAGCTTGAGTCTTTGCGCTGCTGTCAACATCAAAGATGGCTGCTGCACATTTTCTGTTAGCTTCTTTTGCCTTTCACAAAGATGGCCACTCTGCTCCCAGGTTTGCAATTGCAGGCAAAAAGCAAGCAGTTTTTACTTCAGTTTTATGTGTAGGAAAACCAGTTTTCTCACTGTTTCCCCTATTGGCATATTGGATTGAACTAGTTTGTTCTCTTGGGTGTAGTGCTCTTAGACCAGAGATTTGTTTTGCCTCTTAGTAGAGAATTTCTACTTTATTTTCTTTTTCTCATCACATACTCTGTGTCTTCACTGCCAATTGGGGTGTCTTGTGGAAATAAATCCCAGGGCACACAGTGCTCTAGCAGTATCCAGTGCAGCCATCATCTGGTTTTACTCCAAGCATAGCTAAATTACAGATTAGTGGCCTAATGCTCCTCTCATGCCAGTGTAAATCAGGTGCAACCCCAATGATGACAATGAACCTCAGCGAGAAAAGAATTAGCCCTGTGTCTATTTTTAAAAATTGTAAATAGGTTATAATTAAAAGGCTGGTGTTCAAATGGAAAGTATTTGGTCTCAAATATTTGGGGGTCAAGTTGCATCCATATCTGGATACAGATATGCACACACACGTGTGTTTGGGGCAGGGACTTTCTCTTGCTATGTGTTTGTACAACTCCTAGTCTTCTAATCCTGATTGGGTACAGATAGGTATTTGGATATTACAGGAATGGGAGCCATAAAAGTAGAGAGGATAATACACTGTATGGTTAAATCCATAGTAGCTTCATGGCTCAGTTCTGTTCTGTGCAACTTTCTTAGCTACCAAATATGTTGCAGTTTTTGATCTCCATGTCATCAGTCAGAAATAAAAAAAAGCAAGTGATGAGTTTATTAGGGACAGAGTTAGTCATCTCATAGACATTAAGGAGGGATAATCATGACCATCTAGTCTGACCTCCTGCACACCACAGGCCACAGAACCTCACCTACCCACTCCTGCAATAGGCCTGTAACCTCTGACTGAGTTACAGAAGTCCTCAGATATTGATTTAAAGAGTTCAAGTTACAGTTTACTCTAGTTCAAGCCAGGAAATGACCCAGGCCACACACAGCAAAGGAAGGCACCTCCCACCCCAAAGTCTCTGCCAATCTGACCTGGGGGAAAATTGGCTCATGATCCCAAATATGGCAATCGGTTGGACTGTGAAGATGTGGGTGAGACCCACCAGCCAGACACCCAGGAAGGAATTATGTGGAGTAACTCAGAGCCATCCCCATCTGGTGTCCCATCTTCAGCCATTAGAGATATTTGCTAACAGAAGTCACAGATAGGCCATATGCCATTATAGGCAACCTTATCATACCATCCCCTCCAAAAACTTCTTATCAAATTCAGTGTTGAAACAAGTTAAGTTTTTTGCCTCTACTAATCCCATTAAAAGGCTGTTCCAGAACTTCACTTCTCTTATGGATAGAAACCTTTGTCTAATTTCATTGGAGTAGTGCCACTGTGAAATGAAATAATGGGCAGTACATGGAACTGGACAGCTGTTGGAGACCACCATGATACAAATCTAAGTAATTCCACGTTCCCACATACATTGAGAATCTTGTATATTTAAGGAAATGACTTGAAAATATACAGTAAGAAAAATTACTTCTGAACCATCCTCCATTGTATTAAAACAAAAAGGCAGACCCAATATGAAGATCCACAATCATGAAATGTAAATAATAGTTCAACAGCAACCAAGTGTTGTGCCAGATTATTTTGACAAAAACTGAGGTACTTACAGTCTAAGTGACTATGCCTGATCCCTTCCACATCTTCAGCATGAATGAAGTGGTAACATCTCTTTCCTACAATATCTACAGGGGTCAGATCCATGTAATCACTAATCCTACAAAGGAAAAATACAGCCTGTAATTTAAGAAGGAAAAAATACAGGAACTGTCAAATGACAGAAATAGAAATCTACAGAAAGATTTTTCGTTACTGTAGTATAACCACAAAGTCACTGCTGTTTATTTGAGTGGAATACCTGTATAAACAGGACACATTCTTTAAAATAAAATTGTTTTTAATAGAGAAACCTGCTGAAATCAGTTAGTCCATTGAAATAAATGGAAAGTTATAGAAAGTTAAGTTTCAGAGCACTTCCCACCCATAGAACAAACACTGAGACAATATAATTCCATGAAATTACAACGCATCAGCAATAATTCAAAATCCTCATTAAAAGACCAAGGTTACATAATAAAATAAAAACATGTTATGTTTATACCAAATGATTAGAGACACCTTTCATTTCAACAGATTCGTCTTCCATTGGGTATATTCATGAAAAAGGCTCTTCAACCATTTCTTGGCACAAAGTCCAAACTGACATTTCAAGGGATATAATTTAAATGCTGAGACATACAGATGCCTGGGGGTGTTATCTTTTTTAGTCTTATTCATTTGGGAACTCAGCTTTCACTCCTGGCCCTTTCAACTGGGACTTTGTGGTTTATTCCACACAGAAACTTTAAAATCCTTTCAGCAGAATGTGTGTGTGTGTGTGTGTGTGTAGACAGAAAAATTTAACAAAAACTGGAATACATGTTGAGTGAACCAGCCTGGTTTACACAAACATTTGAAAACCTGTTGTTTTTTTAAAAGTAGAAACACATTTTTGGGGTTTGAAATATAGTGTTCCCCCACTAAATGTCCGTTTTGTATAACTAGAACATCTAGCTTTTAGGGTTAGAAGGCAAGGAGTTGTAGGGGGGCTGATATATAGGCTTAGTAATAGTAATGTTTACTATACAGATCCCTCAAAATGTGAATGGACTCATCTCCAAATTATATGACTGAGATTACCAATGACAGTACTAATTTTAAAGTCCGGTGAATCCTTGCAGTAAAGCCAGGGACTGTAAGAGCTGGGGTGTAATAAAAATATGTCTGCAAGTTAGTAAATTACCCATCAATTTCTCACTGTCCAGAACAATCTGTTTTACCAGAGGGATAGTCCCTTGACAATCTGTTCCCACTACCCTCTCCCCACACAGTGGGTGACTGCAGCATGCTTGCTGGGGGCGGAGGGGGTGGGGGGGCTCACCCAGGAGGGCTGCACAAACTCCCCTCTAGCTGGAATGCCCTGGCCCATTGTATTATACCAGGCATTCTGATTGGTCATCCCCAACAGCCCACAAATTTGCTGGCTGCCCCTTTATACACCTAGGAACTGAAAGACTGGGAACATTCTGCCATTCCTGCCCCTATTGCGTGCAAGCTTTTTCCTCATTTAAACTAAAGCACAGTTCAGTGTGATGGGTGCGATTGTACTGTATGTAGCTATGACTTGCTTTCCACATCAGTTGTATTTTCTTTTGTCTCTATCAGGAGAAAGTAAATTACAAAGATTCAGTTTCAGGGAGATGGTCAATGTCTCCCAATCTAGTCAGTACATAGAATAGCCCAGTGGCACAAGATGCTTGGTGCCAGTCCTACCCGGAAGCAGAGCATGTGTTGACTTAGGACCAGATTCAGCAATCCATCGCTGTTCAGGGGAGCATTTTATCATGTGTCTAATGTTAGGAATGTGCTTTAGGCCCATAAGCATGTGCCTAAGTGGTTTGCTGAACAGGAATGGATTTAAGTACAGGCTTAAAAAATTTGCTGAATTGGGACCGTATGGTCTGAATCACATGACAAGGCCTGGGAAGCCAAAGGCAGTTTTACTCTTGCAACTATGCAAGAGACAATGGGGTCACTTGAATCCTGATCCAGCTCCACTGAAATCAATGGGAGTCTTTCCATAAATGTTAATGGAGGATGGATTTGAGCTCTGGTCTGTATTTAATTTGGATCAAAGAAGGTAGGGTTTTTGGTCAGGAAAGCATCCACAGCTCTTCCTTGCAATAGGGACCACTTGCCTTTGTACTGATTTTGAACCTAGTTATGTCTATAATAAGGTTGTGGCACACATGTCATTTCCCCTAGAATTGTCACAGTGTCTTTGAATGGCATAACTGTGATCAAGAGTGGAGACTTCCCTGCTGACTAGTAGTTCGGTAACTGGATAAAACAGTTCAGCAATTTCTGCTACAATAGGTTAGTTAGGCTTGTAAATATAGTTCTAACAGCAACAAGAGATCCATTTACCACAATATACAATTCTAGGGAATAGGAGCTGACCAAAATCTATATTTAGGTTGCCTATCTATTCCAATTATTAAAAAAAAATTCTGAATACTTTCTGAAGAACTCTAATGCCTCCATGTTTTGAACTTGCTGTCTCCATGAAAATATGTTCAGTTTTGGCTCAATAATAAGGTGTAGAAAATCACCATTTGCATTATGTTTACTAGAGCTTGGTAGACCTTTGTGCTAAAAAATTCAAACATTCAGTTTGCACTATAGAAGTTGGATGGTGTATAGAGACTGAAATAGGGGACTGCAAGAAGAGAAGAGATGGGTTTAGTAGTTAAGGCAGTTGAATGCCATCCTAGAGAACTGGATTCTATCCCTGACCACAGAGTTCCTATCTGATGCTTGGCAAGTGAACTAGAACTAAAAATTTCACAACTGGCCACAAATTTTGTGTTCCTCATTTTCTGGGAGACTAACGTGAGACATCTGGGGCCTGATTTTCAAAAGAGCAGAACACTCACAACTGCAACTGAAGTCAATGGGAGCTGTGGATACTCAACACCTACAAAAAACCAGGCCCAAGATGTCTCAAGTTGGGTGACCAGTCATTGTAGCACCCCAAGTTAGCAGTCGTTTTGTCCTTATTCTCTCTTTGCCTCACTTTCCCCATAATAACATTCTCCTATCTCATAAGGAGTTGTGAAAATAAATTAACTGATGTTTGTGAGACACTTGGATACAATGGGGATAAGCACCATAGAAAAGACTGTGAAGAAGTTAATAATTCAGTATTCAACACAGGGTTTAGATGGTGTGCAGTAAATAAGACATGGATCAACATATTGAATAAGGAGAATAAAAAAATATTTAACAGCTGCTTCATTCATGGAGTACCATCCATCCTGTACAATAAATGCAGAAAAAATAGTATATGACTATGTAATTAAAGACTGCATCATAATGCATCTGTGCAAGGGGGAAGAATTAAGGTTGCATGGCATTTTCTAATCTGAGTGCTTAACTATTGCAACCTTAGTAACTTTTTTTTAACTAAGGTGTTTTTGTATGTATTAGTATATTAATACTGAAAAGTCCAAGTAAGTCTTTTAATAACTCCCTAGTCACTCTGTGCACTTGTTTCTTCCCTTGGCCTTGACCTTTTGAATGGCCTGAGTGTCAGAAAATATTGTATTATAAGTACTGTACAATAAGTCAAATAAAGCAAGTGAACTGTGGAACCTGATCCACAACCCATGAGTTCAACAATAACACGAGAAAAAAGCTATTTAGTCCAGATGTAAGAAGGAAAGAGGGTTTGTATTTTTAACTAAAAAGAAAAAAATCAATGCACAAGATAAAAGTGATGTCGTGTGTCCATCAAGGCCACCAAAATGAGAACTAAGAGATAGGACATCAAAGTAAATCAATTTTGTGATTACATGAATGAGAATGATTTTGTTATGGAAATCATACACAAATCAAAGCTGGGATATAAATATTGTTGTATTACTAAACCACTGAAAAATAACTTTATATTATGTTGCTTAATTTATTAATTTAGGGCCAAATCCCACGGCACTCCAGCCCCTATGGTCAGTCTGTTTCTTGACAGCTAAAAATAGCAGCTGATTGAGAAGTAGGGGCTTGATTCTACCGAGTGCTGAGGACACTTGCCCTGATCCCATAAACCCTGTAAGTTTATGCTTAACTTTAAGCTCATGGAGAGTCCCACAGCATTCAATGCTTAAGTGCTTTGCTGGCTTAGAGCCAGAATGCTCGTTATTAAGTAGGCTTGAGTCCTAGTAAAGGAGGCTCCATACAGGAAACTATTTCTGCAGATCCTTAGGGAATGTTGGTAGATCGGTGAAACATGCAGATACATAGAGACAAAACCCCACACTAGGGGAGTATCATGCCATGTGTGTGCACTGGGACTTTTCAGCTTTGAAAAGAGGCGACTAAGGGGGGATATGATAGAGGTCTATAAAATCATGAGTGGTATAGAGAAAGTAAATAAGGAAGTGTTATTTACTCCTTCTCATAATACAAGAACAAGGGGCCACCAAATGAAATTAATAGGTAGCAAGTTTAAAACAAACACAAGAAAGTATTTTTTCATGCAATGCACTGTCAACCTCTGGAACTCCTTGCCAGAGGGTGTTGTGAAGGCCAATACTATAATGGGGTTCAAAAGGGAGCTAGATAGATACATGGAAGATAGGTCCATCAATGGCTATTATCCAGGATGGGCACGAATGGTGTCCCTAGCCTCTGTTTGCCAGAAGCTGGGATTGGGTGACAGGCCATGGATCACTTGATGATAACCTGTCTGTTCATTCCCTTTGGGGCACCTGCCATTGGCCACTGTCAGAGGACAGGATTCTGGGCTTGATGGACCTTTGGTCTGACCCAGTTTGGCCGTTCTTATGTTCTTATGCTACTTCTCACTGTGACCATTGTTTTAGTAGCTGTGGTTGTGCAGGCATCCTGACCAGTTCAGGATGAAGATTCAGCCCTTGATGTTTGCTCTCCAGAAGTAAACTCTTTACACAAGCTTTGATTTTTTCCCCAGCATTTGACCCTTAAGAAAGTAAAAGCAATGGCCATGATGTTCTACTTGGTTGCCTAAATTAGACATCTAAATCTATATTTAGGCACTTAAATAAAAGTGATCTGATTTTCATATAGGCTAAGCATCCACAACTCATACTGAAGTAAATAGGAGCTGGATGTCAGCTCAGTACCTAAGAATTAGGCCACTTTTATTTAGGTGCCTAAATATAGATTTAGATGTCATCCAAGTTTGAAAATTTTGACCAAAGCTTCTGAATTTTCATAGGTTTATATTCTTATTTCACCAATAAATAATGCAAATCTAAATAGGGAAACAACCTGCAAATTGCAACAAAGAGTCCTGTGGCACCTCATAGACTAACAGATGTATTGGAGCATAAGCTTTCGTGGGTGAATACCCACTTCGTCAGACGCATTCAACCACGAAAACTTATGCTACAATACGTCTGTTAGTCTGTAAGGTGCCACAGGACTCTGTTGCTTTTTACAGATCCAGACTAACATGGCTACCCCTCTGATACTTGACAACCTGCACATTAATTCCCCATAATATGACTTTTGCAAGACCTTTTGAGTATGGCTTTTACAGGACCCAGAAGTGAGACACCTCCACCCAAACCACCACACAAACACACTCATGTACAGTATGAGTTTGGCTTAGTCTTGTGTGTATGGCAAATATTCTTTTGGGGCATAAACTCTATAACGGAGGTAATGTCACCTGTATGGCAACACACTTTTAGAATAGGAACAAGAACATTTAAGTCAAGAGGAGAAGTGGATGCTCAGCACCTCTGAAAATCGTGCCCACTTATTTGGTGCCTAACTGTAGATTTAGGTATCTCATCTTAGACACCAAAGTTTTCAAATAGGTCTCCCTATTTTTTGTTTATGTAGTTGTGAAGATTTAAAAGTAATCCTAAAAATAAATGAAATCATGTTGCAAAGCCAGCTAACTAGCTACAGAATAAAATGTAAATGCTTTAAAAATGCCCAATATATTAGTTAATTGATCTTGTTTCATAATGGGGGGGGAAATAACTATGCACCTGGTTCTGCTGTGAATCAGGGATCTTCATTCAAATCTTTTCACTAAGAAGAGAGGAATAGGCCACAAACCAAGACTTGAGTAAAGTCACGCCTGCTTCCTGCTTCTCAAAGCAGGCTCACAAAAGAATCCCTGCAAAAGCAGGAGTAGTGCTTCTCACCTCTTCTGATCCAGTGATCTACTGTGAACATCCAATTCAGCTTAAGTAACGGCACTTCCACTTCACACTCCCCAGCCAGCTGTCACTAACCTCCATGAAGCTATTCAAATAGTGCTTATTGCTACCCTCAAGCATGCTGCCAATTTTTTTCTATAGCCACAGCTGTGCTGCTCCTGCTTCCCCCATGACACCACCAGTGGGGCACCAGCAGCCTACTCCACATATTCAGGAAGGAGTGCTTCTGTTTTCTGTAGCCCCACTGGTGGTGCTGTCACTGCCCCTTTCTTTAGCCCCAGAAGAGGACTTCCTGCTTCCTGATGCCTCAGCGGGTTGCCTCAATGAATGGCTAGCCTCCTGACTAGACAGGTTGCTACTGGCCTCCCAATGTCTAGCAATGGTGTTTCCACTTCCTGCTGTCCCTGCAGGCAACATCCACTTTCCATATGGCATTTGCTGTGGTTCCACTATCCCTACTGTCCACCAGTGGAACTTCTGCTATGCAAGTAAGCTACCAACATTTTCCCCACAGTTCCATCAGTGACGCTTCTGCTAACCTAGTGGACCTCGTTCTCTGCTGTCCCGTGAAGAGGCACAAAGTGCAGATGCCTCATCATTAATTTCAGTGACACCGCATAAATGCTATGTCCTAGCATTCAAAATAAACATCATCAGCAAATAGAAAAAAAGTTACTTGATAAAGTTCTCTCTCTGTTCACCTTATAATAGCAATAACATCCTCAGCACAAGGCACTTCCTGGGGAATAATGACCAGCTAAGTTTAATGGCTCCACTACACCTTTAGCTATCAGCTTTTCCCAGGTGGTCACCAATCCTCAATCAGTGCTCAGTGCCTGGACTATTTGTTATCTATCTTAGGTTTTTCACAGGTTCCTCTCACAGGAATCTTAAGGCCTTACTGGTATATGATGATACAGCGATACTGGAAAGTTTTTTAAAAAATTGTTTAATTTTTTAAAAACAATTTAGTACTCATACAAAATGCTAGATTGACAGCAGAGGAAGATTAAATCTTCCAAACACTGCCCAACCAATTCATCTCAGACCTGACCTGAAAGGGTAGTTCATTTTCCACATCCATTCAATTCTTGGCTCCTTTGTTGAGGCTGCCAACAAAGGTACCAATAACTGGGGGGTGATTTTGTGAAGAGGAGACCTATTCATTAGGAACTGGACTGATACCAGCAACTCATTTCACAGAGGCCACTGGAGAGCTGTCAGATGGTAATGACTTTCCATCACTATCAAGATAGGTCAGATTCAAGCCAATGACTATGGCAAAAGGTTCCATCTGTATACTACTCCTAATCCCCTAAACTATCTGTGCTAACTGCTAGATTACACTACATAATCTAGAAGTTAGTGCAGTGTACTTGCAGGCAGGAAGCCAGCATTCTAACCCTAATTTTGCCATTAACTCTCTATGTAACCTTGAGCAAATTGCTTTCTGTGGCTCAGTGTTCCCAGTTTAAAAAATTAAGATAATATCTCCCATCCTTGTAAAGTGCTTTGAGAGCCTGGATGAAATATGCTTTCTAGTTGCAAAGTACTATTATTATTACAAATATAATTTAGAACATGATAGTATAAGATAATTTCTTAACTAAAACTGCACATTTATTTTAAAAGGCCTAAGGCTCTGATTCAGCAAAGCACTTAAGCACATGCTTATGTCTATCCCTTTTCAGAAGAGCACTTAATTATGTGCTTAAATGCTGTCCAGAATAGAGATAATTCCTGAATTGGAGTCTATGTTAGAGAATTGTAACCTTCTAATTATGCTATCACATCAAAGGGTTGCATTAATCCTGTTGGCAATTCAATTCTTGATGGTAGCTCCTCCTGTCAATGGGTCCTTGGCTAGCTCTTCTGCTTGTTCCCAACTTTTCTTCTACACTTTAGGCTCCTTCCATCCCCAGCCTATGAGTTTCTTATTCCCTGCCTTCTAGCCAACTTCTCCTCAGCTCTTCTGTCCATTCCTCCCCTTATTCTGGACCCTATTTCCAGGTGCCTACTGCACCTGATCCACTTTGAACCCCAATGCTCCTTCCTCCACTTCTCTAAAGTATCTGTCTCCACCCCATCAAACCCTCATTCAACCTGTTACCCAATACCGGTTTCCACTCCACTCCTTTCTCCCTCTGCAATGCAAGTCACCATCTAATCTCATTGTACAATCCCCCCATCTCCTGCTTCCAATGACATTGTCCCCCAACCTGTCACCTGCTCCATCTGACCCCTCCTAGCAACCAAGTCCTCCATTCCAATAAGCAGAGATAGAATTTCAAATGAGACTGCATCTTCTGCAAAGTATTTCAGGAATGTAGGGGAATTAAACTTCAAATAGTATGTTTCCTTTTTTTTTTTCATTTCCAAATATAAAGACATCATGAACCTTGTCATGTTAATGTTAAAAAATCTCCTTCACACTCCAATTTTAATAATTAATAACGACGACAGTGAATTTAGTGCTCTCATATGGCACCAGGAGTCTGATCTCCACTGTTTACCAAGCCATGGAATACAGAGTACAAATGCAACACTGAAAAATGAGAGCTGAAATGCTGTACCTATTTTCACAGTAAATGATATTGAGGTCCATATTTACGCGAGTAACAAACATGTGGCAGTCGATTCTGACTTCATTGATTGTAGGAGGTGGCAAAGCATGAGCCACAACTACAAGCCCCATGATTTGGCTAGGGACTGTCCGCCCGTGGGACAGTGACACTCTCAGTCGTAACCGGCCTGTTATATGGATCACCTGCAAAATAAAAAGAATAAAAGAAACCCCAGTGAATTCATGATGCAAATATGACATCATCTTTTTTAAAGGACAACATTGTTATTCTAAAGAGCACTTAACTCCATCAAAAATTATATTTAGTAACTGCCAGGATCAGTGTTAAGCTTATTAATATTGGCTGTCAACATGTCCTAAATGTCCTCATGGCAAGAAAGAAGAAAAGTACATAATAGCCAAATGTTTCAATTTATCAAATCTAAAACTCAGAACTTCTGTGTTATTGATTTTTTTTTTCAAAGAAAGAAAGAAAGGACAAATTAGAAAATCCAGGGAATGAAGTAAGAGATATAAAACTGAAGTAATGAGGGTAGAAAGGGAAGACTAATTTTAAAACATTTGGAGATTAAAATGTGAGACAAAAGGAGCAGCAGTTTTGAAACTTTTCCAGGACCCATTTAATTGAATTGCCAGTCATCTACATCTTAGAGACACTACTTACATCCTTGAATTACTTCTTTGTGGTTGGCAATACAAGAAGCATGAGCCTGCAAGTGATCAATGGGTTCAACAGAGGCGCTTTGAATGGGTTCTCTGCGCAGACACCAAGCATTTTACAGCTGCAGAGTTACTAGTCAAGCAGTGATTTAGCTTAATGCACTGTGCATGTGCTGAGAACTTTTGGAGCTGAATGAGAGGCAGAGGTTTTCTTTCCCCTATTTACACGATGAACACTAAGCAAAATATACCCAGGAGATTCAGCTGCTCCATTTGAGATTGCAACTCAATGCTGCTTGCTGAAGCTGAATGATTATGAAACTATGGGAAAGGACTGACCTATAATTTCTGACTCAACTGCCTCAGAAGCCTTACTATGGACAAATAAAATGATGTGCTTTGAAAAAAAATTAAAATGAATAGTACTTGTGACAGGTATCAGATTGGCAGCTTGGGAGACTGCAGGCCTATATTCGCACAACAGGGACATCATGGGCAGTGGCAGTGCAAACTGTCCACACCTTTTACCCTAACAGCATCTCAATATCAGCGTGGAAAGAAGGCCTCGAGGACAGAGAGTTCAGACTCCATGGTGCATTCAGCCCTCAGCATCTCTACTGAGAGTGCCAACAAAGATGCCAACATGTGCCAACTGTGATGGTGTGGATACATATCCACTGGGAACCGAAACTCATTTCACAAAGATAAGATAACAGTCTGCAGCGTTTGGTCACTACTGATAGGAGAGCTATTGTTAGTGGTGAGTGAGTGGTAAAAGACTCTGTGTTCCACTGGCAATCTCTTAAACCATGTAGTGCACCCAAAATTAAATCTCATTAAAGCTAATAGACCAATGAATTAAAGCTTGAAGGTTTTTTTTATTTACAATCTTTAAAAATCTCTCTTTTATCCAATATTTTACATTTGTGACCACAGTCAGTGAGGTAGTTCTGAATGGGGAGGATGATTATCTTGTGGTTTTGTCCATTTCAGTTGTAGATTTATGATCATCCACATCTGAGGTAATTATTACCTAAATTCATACTTAATGCACCTTCAGAGGGCAAACTATTTGGTGAATATTTGAAGACATTCCTAGAGGCAAGGATGCAAAAATACCATTTCAAACACACAGTTTTTGCAAGACCTTATTAACTAATGAAGAAATAGCTAAAAGAAACAGGATTTACTTCACAGGAGGGATACAAATAGCATACTTTGCTCCTTCTAGCTAGGCTTACACATATGCTTATTTACCATTATCTCTCTCACTTTATCATGCAACTTCAGCTTACTGCAGAAACACAAATCTGTAAATGCTTGGAAAAAATGTTGCTTTTTAATGAAACCAGAAACAATGTAAAAAATAATCCTATGCTCAATGTACTAGGCTAAATGCATTTTTTTTTTTTTTTTTTAGAAATGCCTATGCTAAAATGTTTGAAGTTGGCATTAGCACTTGGGGGGAACTTTGAGATACATCTTACTTAAGATTCATTTTTTATTTCCCACACCTATTTTTGGAATACTCCATGTCATTCATTGCTAAATGTCAAAAAGATTTGTTTTTCAACAAGTGCTTATTAAATTGGTATCCAGTTTTTCCTTGATCTTTCAGTGAAACTGCAGCTCTGAGTTTGTATCACCATCACTAGAGATTGCCCAAAGCTAACTCCGCTATACTCAAGCACTGCTGAACTTTGGGAAAGTTTGTAATTGGATTCAAGCCATGCAACTGGTCCCTAACTCATGGATTGAACCATGTCCTCAGTATGAGTATAAGAAACAGCTTCAAATTTTGGGAGAGGTCAGGTCTGATTTTGAATTTTGGCTGTTGCGCTGGGAAAATCTGCAACAAATTCCCGTCAGTTCTGACACGTGTTCATAGAATCATAGAATCAATTGAATCAGTATTAAAAGAGGTGGGAACTCACACACAGGTGTGTGAACCAAAAAACATTTCATAACAGTAGGACTGTTAATGTATAGTGAGTATAAGAAGTATAATGTTGTAAAGGCGTCAAGATGAAGCAGTAAAAAAAAAAACAACCTATTAAAATCTTCTGCACTGAAAAATGTAATTCTCTTGTTAAAAAGTATTCTAAATTAACTCTACCTGACACTCACATATTTAAAAAAAACATTGTTTCGCTTTTGGTTTTTTTCTCTGATACAAAAATGGATGTGCAAGATGTTGTAACTACATGTAAACACAATTGATGATGAGTATGCTTGGACAAATATATATTTCTTTTCCCTGCCATATGCTCCCCTTAGTCATCTGTTAGCAATAAGCACTTAGATGTGCTCTACTAATGTCTACTCATTATAAACAAGCACATCACAAAGACCTTGATAAAACCTTCCCTCTGTCAATACTTAAGGAAAGGAAAGCCCAGTAATTGAAAAATACATCTGGAACTTGCTCATCGTACTTTAGAGCTAAATCTCACCTCTAGAGATGGAAAGATTTTCTTTATCAAAAGACATCTTTAAATATTATGTCTATTATTTTTCACATATATGTGATGTAAGGAGTAAGGACATGTATTACCTAGGGCAATAAAAACCTGCAGGCATGAAAAATCTGTGAATTTCACCTTTCAGATTTTCCTATGTTCTTCAAAAACTTAAACTTCCATTAAAAAGAAAGTTACAAACTATGTCTTTTGGTCCATATGTAAATCACTGTCATGGTTTGTCATCAGATTTAAACCAGCCCATTGACAGAAGTGTTAACTCAGGCTATTTGTCTTAACGGGGTGTTAACTTCTGGGTGTTCATGTGATCATTTAGAACCACATTTTCTCATGAGGATCATGTATGAAAAATGTGCAGAGCTATTGTGCACCCCTATTTGTGTGCAAAGATAGGTAGCTGTGTATATAAAATGGCTAAATGCACATGCACATGGCTACTTCGGTGTCTCACCAGTCAACCAACACATGCATTTATCCAATTAACACACAGTTAATCAGTGTGTGCACAAGTGCTGATATTTTGCTCATTCAAATAGTGATACTCTATCTTTTGTAGGCTAGTGACATGGAATTCTTTCAAACCATGAACACTTATTTTGAGCCACTGAAGTAATATTTTTACAAAATTATAATTAAACGTCTCTTTATTCGTTTTTTAAAAATTAACACTTATTTTTAAATAATCACATAACTATTTACTAAACATTTTATATAAGTAGTAAAGCCCTTTCCTGACCTGAATGGACACAGAGGACTACAGTGCCTTTGTAACTGATACGACTGTTTGTCCTGAGACTGGGAAAAGAAAGCTCACAGAACCAGAAACCTAAAGATCATTCCACCCTTTCCTGCTATTTGTGGCCAGCTGTCTTGTGTTTTTCTTAATATATATAAATATTTCTTCTCTCTCTCTCTCTCTCTCTCTCTCTCACACACACACACACACACACATATATATATATATAATGGGACAGGACAGGCAGGTAGTCCATGAACCTATACAACTAGCTTAGCAACTGGGCGCAGCAAGCTCACTTTTAATGTTATTCACACTGAATACTGAGTGAGCCTTATCTATCAACCATAAAAGTTGTGGCCTTCAGGGCCCATTGAAGCACAAGTCCGATTTCAAGTAGGACATATAGTATACAGGGCCGGCTCTAGGATTTTTGC